AATTTACCAAAATTGTCCATAAGCTGGATCATGAAGTCTCAACAAATTTCAAAGAATTAAAAACAGAAGAAAGGTTCTGTGATCATTGTGGAATTAGGCTGGAAGCCAATCACATAGAGATAACTAGAAACTCACCATATGTCTGGAAATTTAAAAATAATTCACTTATAAATAATTCATGGATCTGGGATGAAATCGTAATGGTTATTAGAAAATATGTTGAACTAAATTATAATAAAAATAAACACCAGTCAGGTGCTATGGCTCATGCTTGTGATTCCAGCACTTTAAAAGGCTGAAGCTGGCAGATAACCGAGGTCAGGAGTTTGAGACCAGCCTGACCAACATGGTGAAACCCTGTCTCTACTAAAAATACAAAAATTAGCCAGGCATGGTGGCACACACCTGTAATCCCAGCTACTCAGGAGGCTAAGGCAGGAGAATCGCTTGCACCCAGGAGGCAGAGGCTGCAGTGAACTGAGAGCTTGCCACTACACTCCAGCCTGGGCAACAGAGCAAGACTCCATCTCAAAAAATAAAAATAAATACATAAATTAACATCAAACCTTGTGGATGGTTACAAGGACAATTATTAGAAAAAAAGCAAGACTACAAATCAATGATCTAACAGTCTAGAGAAAGATTGGAAGATAATGATAGCTGCCTAAATCCAACTCTCCTCTCATATCCTCTCCCCAGATCATAAGATCAATGGGTGCAAATAAAACCTCACAAGAGCCACACTTTTAGCATTAACCAGGAGGCAGAGACTACCATGAACTTTGTATTTCCTGTGCCTAGAGAAATGAAAAACTTCCAACGGAGCTTGCATTATTGCTACAAACCCATGGGTGTGTGAGGTGAGGAAAGGAGACCTAGGGGTCTGAAAGTAAAAGAGGAGAGAGGGACAGAGGACACGGATGAGGCATAAACAAAATCACCCTTACAGTGAGAAAGTCCAACACTAAGGGTGAAATACTCAACAGAGATCTGGGACTTAGTTCACAACACCAACTATAGGGAAGGAGTTTGGAAGTGACCAAAGGTGACAGCCTCAGAGAAACATTACATATGGGGAAATTAGATAACTACATAAAGTGTGGCAGGCGGGGGAAGAAGGAAAGAAGAGGGGGAAATTAAGACAATATTGTCCACATGAGCCCCTCTTGAGGAATGTAATGAATGTATCCTCCAGCCTAGAGATAACCGTGGAAACATCAACAAAATGAAAAATAGTAAGCATTTACTATATTTAATTGTAGAGATAAGATTAAAGCAGAAAGTGAAGGCAGGTTTGGAAAAATAATGTGTAGATATTGTATGTTCTGACAAAGTAGAAATAATGCAACTAAATGACTAGGAAGTAAATGCAGAGAGAAAGGGGAAAATAGACCACTCTTGACTGCTGTGTAGGTAGCAGGTGGGAGTCAAAGGATACAATTTGAATTGGCTTCCCAGACAGTACAATGTTAAGTAAGAAAAGAAGGGGCTTAAGAGCATAGTAAAAGGTGTACACGTAAAGATAGCCAACAGAATAAAAATACATAGCTTCCTACTACCAGAAAATTTAAAAAAAATAATAAACACACCAAAGAAACAGTATAATATATATGGCACATATAAAGTATGATATAATCCACTTGAGACCAAGTATATCCATCATATCAATAAAGATGAAAATGCTTTGCTTGTCTATTAAAATAAAAACATTTTAAAGTTGGCTTATGAAGGAAAAGCCAACATTAGCCTGTATACAAGAAATATGGCCAAAACGTGGCATTGAAAAGCTGAAACTAAAGGCATGGACAAAGACACAACAGATAAAGACACACTCAGGTGGAAATAATAAAAAAGCAGATGTTCTGACTCTCGTATCAGATAAAGTAGAATTCTGGGCAACAAAAATTAAATGAGACATAGGACACCTTCTAATACTAAAAGCTGTAATTCATTATGAAGAGGTAAGTTACAAATATCTATGCACCAAAAAGCACAGCAAGTCTTATAAAAAGTAAAAAGTAAAAATAAAGTTTTCAACTCAAAAAGCTAGAAATAAAACAAAAGACACCCCAAAAAAGCACAAGGAGGCAAATACTAATGATAAAAAAAAGAAATTAATAAGGTAGAGAATAGAAAAGTGTATCAATCCAATAGGCCAAAATTCTGGGTCCTTGGAAAAATTAACAAACATGTTACTATTAATAGCAAATTTATTCAAGAAATAAGGAGAAAAATATGAAATAATAAATGACAAGTGGAAATGATTATTAATACTGAGAAAAAAAATTTTTTTGAGATGAAGTTGCCCTCTGTCGCCCAGGCTGGAGTGCAGTGGCGTGATCTCGGCTCACTGCAACCTCTGCCTCCTGAGTTCAAGCGATTCTCCTGCTTCAGCCTCCTGAGTAGCTGGGATTACAGGCACGTACCACCCATATTAGACACGGCTAATTTCTGTATTTTTAGTAGAGACAGGGTTTCACCATGTTGGTCAGGCTGGTCTTGAACTCCTGACCTTGTCATCCACCCACCTCGGCCTCCCAAAGTGCTGGGATTACAGGCGTGAGCCACCATGCCTGGCCAGAAAAAATGTTTTAAATCACATGATGCTACTCTGTACACCTTTATGCAAACAAAATTGAAAACTTAGATAAAGTGAGTATTTTCTTAGGAAGAGATAGTTTACCAAAATTGATCTCAGTAAAAATAGAAAGCTTAAATAGACTCACTTGTGTAGAAGAAATAGAAGAGTTATCAAGGAACTACAATGTTAAAAAAAAAAAAAAAAGCAGCAGAGCCAGATGGTTTTGAAGAATAATTTTATAAACTTTAGAGCCCAATTAGTGTCTATGCTATATAAATTACTCAGAGAAAATTTTTTAAAGTATACAGTATTTTTACAAAACAAGTATAACATCTATGACTCAATTTTGTTAAATATAACACAAAAAAGAAGGTAATAGATAAATATTACTTATAAATATTAATGAAAAACTCCTAAATAAAACATAAACTGAGCAACTTCGATACTTCATTAAGAAAGTAATACACTATGACTGAGTGGAATTTATACTAACAATGTAAGAATGGCTAATATTAGGAAATCTACTGATATAATTTGCCATTTTAATTGGTGGAGAAAGAAACAGCATATAATTTTACAAGGATGCTAGAAAAGCCTTTTACGAAATCAACCCTCATTCCTAATAAAAATTTCCAGAAAGTAAGAATAGATGTATTCTTCCTCAATGTGATTATAGACTACACACACACACACACACACACACACACACACACTCTCCACACTAAATCCATCACTGTAATGAGAAATTGAAAAATGCCATTAAACTGAGAACATAAGTCACAGGGAGAAAATATTTGCCATATATAGGTCTGAAAAGATTAGATCCAAGATATAAAGACCTCTTACAATTCAATATTAAAAAGATAAACAGTTCAATAAGAAAATTGGGAAAAAAGATTTGACCAAATACTATACAAAAACCACATAAAAACATTTCTTGTTATTTCACATAAGAAGTGCTAAGCATCATTGGTCACAGAAAAATGCAAATTGAAGGCCACAATAAGATACTGTACATACCCATTAGAATGGCTAAAATTTAAAAAACTACTAGCAAATGTTGGTAAGAATGTCAAACAGCAGACACACTATACACTGCTGCTAAGAGTGTGAAACACTACCACCATTTAGGAAACAGTTTAGTATTTTCTAATAAGTGAACATACTCTTACCTAATATGACACAATGATTTCATTCCCAGATATTTACTGGAGAAATAAAAACACATGTCCATGCAAATACCTGTTCATAACATTTCATTCATAACAGCTCCAAACTGGAAGCAGCTTAGGTATTCATTAGGAAAATGGATAGACAAATTGTGGTATATTTGTACAATAGAATGCTACTCAGCATTAAAAGGAACACACATGCATGCAAAACATGAAAGAATCTCAAGTATTATGTTAAGTGAAAAAAACCAGACCTAAAGAGTATACATAGAGAGTTATATGAAATTCTAGATCAGACAAAAGTAATCTATAGTGATACAAATCACATCACTAATGTATGTTAATGTTAATAGTGGTTGGTTTGGGATAGTGTGATTCTTTTTAGTTAGTTATTTAAATATTTTCCTTATTTGTATTTTTGACTTTTTCTGTAGAAAGTATATATTTAGTTCAAATAAAAACAGAGGATGGCCAGGCATAGTGGCTCACGCCTGTAATCTCAGCACTTTGGGAGGCCAAGACAGGAGGGTCACTTGTGTCCAGGAGTTCAAGACCAGCTGAACAACATACTGTCTTTACAAAAAAAAAAAAAAAAAAATTAGCCAGGCATGGTGGGACCTATAGTTCCAGTACTCAGGAGGCTGAGGCAGGATTGCCTGAGGCCAGGAGATGGAGGCTGCAGTGAGCCATGATCACACCGCTGCACTCAGCCTGGGTGACAGAGTGAGACTCTGTGTCAAAAAAAAAAAAAGAGAGAGAGAGAGATAGGATTACATGTTAAGGCAGGGATCCCCAACCCCTGGGCCGAGGATGGGTACTGGACCATGGCCTGTTAGGAACCAGCTGCACAGCAGGAGGTGAGCCTCGGCTAGCAAGCATTACCACCTGAGCTCTGCCTCCTGTCAGATCAGCAGCAGAGCAAACCCTGTTGTGAACTGTGCATGCGAAGGACCTTGATTGCACAGCTCCTTATGAGAATCTAAAGCCTGATGATCTTAGTTGGAACAGCTTCATTCCAAACCCACCCTCCCCCCCTCCCTCCCCCCCGATCCCTCCCTCCCCGATCCCTGTTCCTCCATGGAAAAACTCCATGAAACTGGTCCCTGGTGCCAAAAAGGGGGGACCGCTGTGTTAAGGTATTTAGATGTCTATTTTCTACATTTCCCTCAGCCAAGTACCAGTGTACTAGCACATGCTTTCATGGAACAATTAGGCCAAGAATCTTTGAGAAATGTATTATTTCTCACCACATAATGTCAACCTGCTCCACATTTCCAAGGAATTCTACTTTGTTCATGAAAGTTGTCCGTTTTCCTTTTGATGTTTCCACTCTTTTCACGTCAATGCCCTGTCAGAGGAAACACAGAATGAAATGCAGCTACATCAAGGGCAGATTAATTTTAGATGCAGGTCTAAATATTTTTTACTAGCGATAAGTGTTAAATGAATTAGTTAATCCAGTTTTAGAAAACAGAATCAAATTATATATGTTTTTACTTGTTAGATTCAATAATTATTTGGCATATTAAAATTTTATGAATCTTGTAACTCATTCAGTTTCCTTTTATGAATGTCATTTTTTATGAATCTATGTCATCTTTCCTGCTTGCCTTCTTTCTTTCTGTTTGGGCTGCAACTGGGCCAAACAAGTTTTCTCAGGTATTAATCCACAGTTATTAAAAACAAAGGAAATAGCATAAGAGTTTGTTCAGAACATGACTACTACTCTATTACTGCATGGAATTGACTGAGTAATCATGAGACCTCAACTAAGGAAGAGCCCTGTAACAAACTTTGCAATAATAACACTAAATTATTATTTAACATTAAATAATATTTATTTATTTATATAATTTAATAATTATTAAATAATGTTATATTTAATAACATTAAATTATTAACAATAAATTATTTATTGTTTATTAGTATGGCACAAGGGGGTTTTAATCTTCAAAATAGTCCTTGGAATTTTAATTTTCAGAAAATTATGTTAGTCCATTTGTTTACAGCTTGTAACAACGCTGTCTCTATCATTATATAATCTTTTAAATAATTAATTTGGAAAACAGGAGAATTTACTAACTGTGAAAGTAGTATAAGCTATTGTGACCCCTGTGGTCATTGGTTAAATTTCATTGACCATATGGTCTCACAACCAATAAATCCTAATTAAATACTTAGTATTTAAGATCCTAAATATTTGGGATTTAAAGTATTCATATGTTGTGTGCAAAATTTTACAAAAATCATTATTGCTCCCTCAGAGCTCTGTATACTTTGCATTTATCTTCAGTGAGCTCCTCCTCACTGAGACCCTAGCATAATATAAATACATTATTCAATGTCTCTGGAGAAAAAGCTTTTCTAGTATGTAAATTTTAAGCACAAGAAGCATATACTTTTAAATAATTAACTTTACTTTTTCAACAAATTTAATGGAACTATTTGTTAAATGTTATTTTTATCTCCACCTTTTAAACAAAAATGCCTTTAACCTAATTTAATTATAATACTTATACATTACCCAACATAACAACTTGTAACATCCTCAAACCAATCCTTTTAAACTATCATTATCATCATTTGATATTATTACTATTCAATCCATGAAATATTACTGTAATTTCATTTTAATTAATTTTAATTTTAGAGTTTAGAGTTTTTTCAATTTACTTTTTTTTAACTTAAACATTTTTTAGTCCAGGCACAGTGGCTCATGCCTGTAATTCCAGCACTTTTGGGAGGCCAAGGCGGGCACATCATTTGAAGTCAGGAGTTCAAAACTGGCCTGGCCAACATGGTGAAATCCCATCTCTACTGAAAATACAAAAATTAGCTGGGTGTGGTGGTGGGTGCCTGTAATTCTAGCTACTTGGGAGGCTAAGGCAGGAGAATTGCTTGAGTCCAGGAGGGAGAGGTTGCAGTGAGCAGAGATCGCGCCACTGCACTCCAGCCTGGGCGACAGAACGAGACTCCATCTTGGGGGGAAAAAAAATTATATGTTGTGAAAAACACGTAACATAAAATTTACCATGTTAACTATCTTTAAAGTGTAAAATTCAATAGTGTTAAGTTTATTTAACAATAGCTCTCCAGAACTTTGAGTTTTTTAATAACCTCATTATAAAGTCAAAACAAGTCTCAAAATATTATTTTAATTTAGATATATTGAATAGGCTTGTTATTGGTATTGTATACATCATCCAAAATTTGGATTTGTTAAATAGAATCATTTGTAAGAGGAGTTTTCTATATAAGGGCAATTATTGTGTTTTTCTCATTTGTCTCTCTTTATGATAAAATTATGGCTTGAATTTTAGGTCCTACTTCTTTATTTGAGATATTGTTAGTTAACTCTGTTGAGAGGTTCACAGTCATAGTTGTGGATGAGTGCAGTTGCTGCTGCACTACAAATGCTTGAAATGCATGTGATTAAATTACATTCTGGTGGCCTGTCTCTGGAGACTCTCTAATCAGTGTATGCCAATAGCAATGACGGAAGACATAAACTGGGCTCTAAAATGATAATAGTATTGGCTGCCTTCATATAGCAGGGTAAATGACTTTAGAGCTTTGACTTCAGGCTTCTTCGACACGAACCAATAAAATTTTTTAAAAGAGATTTCAGAAAATGAGTGTGTTACGAAGGATGAATAAATCTTAAATGCCAAATATTAATGACTCAAGAGGCAACTTGAACTAATTAGCGTGCCAGCACTAACTCAAGCCAGGAAGTCGAGGATGCTGGTGGCATGAGTTATGCCATCTCTCCCAGATGCAGGTATGACGATGGAGTGTGCAAGTCCTGCCATAGGCAGGCTGTCCTTTGGTGTCTTCCTGTGGCCCTTGTCTGGGTCCCTTCTCTTCCTTCTAGCTAAGCCTCACTTCCTGTGTCATTACCACTGCCACATTCTTATTAGCTGTCTGTCAAGGTGTTAGAGTCAGATGGGCCTGGGTGACGGTGGCTAAAATTACTGGACTTTCTCAGACCAGTCTCCTCTTCTGTCAAATGGGGAAATAATGCCCACTTCATAGGATTCTTTTTAAGATTAAACTGGATAATCCTTTCATTGCAGGAAACTCAAGCTAGGAAAAAGGTCCACCATTTTTTGACAGTTTTTATACCCTGGATTAGAAGTGTGTGGAAAGGGACTGCTATGCTACAATCGCCAGCAGTGTTCCTGTTTCTGTCTTAGAGACAACTATGTTGTTCCTTTGTTTGGGTAAAGTCTCTATTTACTTTTTGGTTCTATGCATGGAAAAGCCAGGGTCCTATTCTGGAATGGAGATTTTGGCATTTGAGGAGCTCAAGTGCTCTACAGGATAACATAGTTTAATAATGAGCTTGCTTTGTGGCATTGTCCCTTTTTCTATTCTATATTTTAACTGGCGCAGGGTACTTATTGTAGCTATGGGAGAAATAACCACGCTCCCTAGAAAGGAAGCCCTACACACACTGAGTAGCCTGGCTGTGAGAAGTGTGGGTGGAATGTCACTGCCACCGTGAGCGGCCTCGTTGGTCCCTCAAGCTCAGCGGCTGAAGGATGAGAACTGGTAAGGGGATTTGGGGGGTTGGGAGGGCCCAGGGCAGTCATATCTAGTGTTCAGTATAATGCACAGATCAAGTGTTTATTTCTGCTTTGTCATCCACAGGTTTTAGTCACATTGTGCTAAACGTTAAAGGCTCTAATTAGCTGTGCTTTGCGGGGAAGGTCTTGTGTTTGCTTCTATACTGGGAGAATAGGAAAGAGGCTGAGAGGTGACCTGCTTAGGGGCAGCTGAAGGTTGCTCAGATGACAAGAAACATTACATATCTGTAGAATATACATTCCAGGATTTCCAGAGATATTAGAATTCCAGAGGTTAAACAATGCAGATTTGGATTATTGCTATTTGGGCATTAAAACAAATGAAATGTTTGTTATTCATGCAAAACAGTATCTGCTTTCAAGTTATCTGTACTTTAAGAAGGTTTTCCTAAGATAGAAGGGGTGGTCTACATCGAAAGAATGGGTTAAGAAACATGAAACAATCCCAGTGGTGATATTTTAGGGAAGATAATGTATCTGCTACCCCCATTAAAATTGCACCAGGTAGGCTATTGCCTACTTACAAACTGGTTCCTGTTTTGTTCCAAAAAAAAAAGCAGCATCTCAAAGCCCTCTCACCTTCTCAGAAAATTTGGAAGCCATTAAAGAGCTGGATCTGTGTTTCCTGGCTTGGTTCCTGTACTTACTTTTTTTCTAGCTATTTAGTGAAAGGAATAAAACATCTACCTTGGTTTTTTGAATTAACTTTTATTTTAAGTTCAGGGGTCCATGTGCAGGTTTGTTATATGGGTAAACTTCCGTCATGGGGGTTTGTTGTACAGATTATTTTGTCACCCAGCTATTAAGCCTAGTACCCATTAGTTATTTTTCCTGATCCTCTCCCTCCTCCCACCCTTCACCCTCTGATAGGTTCCAGTGTGTGTTAAAACGTCTACCTTATAAACATCTTGTGCCACTAGATAGAAAATGTATTTAAAGATTATCTCTACATCCCTTATTGTCCCCTATCTGGCAGCTCCTATCCTTGCCCATGCCCATTTTAGTGCTCCAGTAACATGTTTGGTAAGTGACTTAGGCTATAGAGAAGGAAGGTGATGCTGGTGATGCGGCCAACAGGACTCGAGTCTCCAAAATCTCTGTGTAAGGGGTAGTGTTACCTTGGGTGTCGGGATTACAGTTACAGAAAAGAGAGCTAAGTTAAGAACTTCGAGAGGAATGGCCCTAGACTTTTCATTTGGAACCTCCCACCACATGTATGCCAAATGGAGGAGGATTTCTGACTTGAAGGTTAAAAGTCATGTGAATGGGGGTTTACACTGAGTGCACGCAGACAATCAGGAGAGTGGCTGCTGAAGAACTACAAATGGACTGATTGGCAGGATGTGCACACTTTAGTATTGGGTTCTAGTGTCGGCTTCTACTTGTATGATATTTTGGAATCTATGTGTGGGTTAATGTAGGAAGAAACTGGACATTTACTTTCTGTCTGAGGCATATCCTATTTCTTTCTTTCTGGATTTTTAAATAACATTATTTCCCTATAATATCAAATACAATACATTCCTCTTCAAAGGTTTAACTGTTAACTTCCTTGTTCTTTGTTCCCAAGATCAACTTCCTTATTTGGAAAAAGTCCTTATTCATCTTGTAAACTACCCCTCTCACCCTTGCAGTGCTCAGACATACCGAAACCTGCCTTGTCAGCAGCCTTGACTTATCCCCCTTACTTCTTCCCTTTTCTGCTTCAGCCATAAAAACTCTTGTGTTATTACCTTATTTAGAGAAGTTTAAGCTTTAG